TCTCTTTAAGGTATATCTCTTGAGTTACAGATCTCCGGTGGAACATCTTATATATAAACCGTTGAGAAATATTTTAAAAGCTTCAGATGTATACAAAGGGAAATGAGTAATGAACTCTCCCTTAAGGTATTTTTTAAATACAAAATGTAATCCAGATGGAGATGTGTTTTAATGTGCATTTATCAGAACACATTCTTGCATTCGGTTTAAAATTGTTTGTAAATTTTTTTTTTGACATATAGCTATATCTATCTGTCTGTCTGTCTATCTATCTATCTATCTATCTATCATCTATCTATAATGGAGATGTGTAAAAGCTAGATGTCGTTTTGTAATATATCTGCCATTCAGTGATTATTTGTGATACATTATTTAGGGTTTTTTATTATTAAAAACCGCTCAGTATTATTTAGTTAGAGAATACAGCTTCAGCTAGAACGTTCCCATGATAGTTTAATACAGCACCAAGTGTGGTTTGGTGTTTTACTCTTTGCCTCTTTCCAATACTTTAGAAGCAGGCGTGGCTAGTGGCCATGGGGACTTTTGGGGCGGGAGGCAGGAAAACCAACAGGAGAGGGAGCCAGAATCAGAAACAACTATTTCTACCTTCGTAGTCCTCCTTCACCCTGCTGAGTTCTGCAAGGTGAAAACTATGACCGAGGTTGAATGTAGACCATACAATGAATCTTGGGAGAATGGTTTGTTAAGGTGCTGGGAATTGTGAAGGGTAAACTACAATTTCCCGGATTTCTTTGCCTGGGGAGGGGCTCTTTTAAAAGTATGGTTTTTAAGCAGCCAGAGGAGGAGGAGGAGGCAGACAGTGAGGGCCACCCCTGCACTTGATATAAGTAAAAAGGTGGGCAGGTTGGCTTGGAGGAATGAAGATTGTGGTGGGGGAGGCATGCCCCATTTGCCCCAACCTCCACCATTTAACAGTGTTGTTCCAATATGCCACATTAAATGCATCCCACTTGTTCAGACATGTAGCATTGGGGATTTCCCTAGAGAAATTTTGCTTCTGATTTCTATTTCATCTTGCTTTTTCTGGTTAGGTGAGAGAATAAATGACTTTCTGACACATTAATTGGCATTATGACATCTGTAACAGCAACCCAACGACTTCTTACAACTGGATTATTTCTCGGTGTTTTTAGAAATTAGTATGGAAAAAATGGCTGTGATCAACGATCTACTTTACATGTATTTTTCCAACCAGGGACTTTCCAGATGTTTGCTGAGGATCATGGAGTTTGTAGTCCAAAGCATATGGAGAGCACCAGGTTGGGGAAAGGTGCCCTACAGTACCCGCATGCCATTTTTAACTCCTCCCATCCTTTGACATGATATTCTTTATAAAACAGAAGTGGTTTCTTATGCGGCATTTGAGGGGCAGGGGATAGGAAGACTGCATGAGAAACCAAAGCCCAAAGCAACCTTGGGCACACAGAACTACTTGAGACTAATATATTCTGTTCCAAGTACAGGCTTTTAAAAAAATAAAATGCAGCAATCTCTTAACACCAGTTCTTTGTGATAGGGATGTGATGAGCATTTGGGCAGGCCCTCGTGTAAATGAGCACCCCTGATCAAAGACTTGCAAGCAGAACTGAGGCAGGCACAGCTCTGCTTGCCACACTATGCTGGCTTTCATCTGCGATACTTTTCTGCATGTTCCCCATGTTCCAAGGACCAGAAACTCACCTACAGGCAGGGGTAGAAGCAGCGGCAGTAGATACTTTGAGGGAGCTGAGCATTTATTTTCCCCATCTAGAACAAGGACTTCAAGCCCCAGAACCCCCAGTGTGAAACAGCTATTGCACATATTATTATTAGCATTGATATATTTCTAGGACCTGTAATCACAGGCCCTGGTGGGAAAAGAAGCTTCACTTGGGGCCTTTGTAGAAGCCACACACACCACCACTGTAATTTTCTGCCTTGGGGCAGGTTGGGTCTTGGCACTGAAGAAATGGAAGGTGGAAGATGTGGATGCGCAAGTCTTTGTATTCTGCATTGAAAACTCTTAAAGCCCTTAACTATGTCCCCCCGCCGCCGCCAGCACACAACAACATTTGATTGGAATGCTTGCAAAAGCAGTGGGGTGTTTCTGCATCCCTGATCAGCATGTTTAGACCGTGTGTAGCAGTTCTGACACTGACAACATATCACATTATAATGAAATGTAGAACAATATACTTATAGAACTAGCACTAGCCATAAACATTTGGCTCTTTGAGTTCGTTTTCTCCAGTAAATTTTATTTTTCTTTACTTCTTCTTGCACGAGGATTTGCTTAACTGGCAGCGTGTGATCCCAGTTTACCACTTTACAGGGTGCAGATCACACTTACAGACATGCTATCTGTTGAAGACATAGAAATTTGAATTGCAAATCAGAGTTTCTGCAGTATTAAGCAGTATAGTCAGTAATAATGACTGAGTTGAATGGATTTGGTCTAGCTGAGTAATTTGTTGGAAGCCACAAGCAATTTCATCCTTTTAAAAATCAATCAGCGCTATTGTGCTGCATAAATTAGCCTCCGAGGGTTTGTAAATAAAAAAAGTTAAAATGAAACTCTTGAAGAGGGGGAGATATTTTTTCCAAGGGTGAATTCTCCCTCCCCCCCCCCCCAAGCATAGGCATAACATTGTGTAAACCTCCTCGCCATATAGCTGGTGACAGGGGAAAGGACTGAGGCTGAGAAAGAGTACAGCTTGCCTAAAACCACGTGGCAATTTCATGGCAGGTGTGAGATTCAAACTGCGTACTGATTCCTTTCTCAGCTCTGCCTCTGAGCCACTGTGCTAAGTCAGGTTACTTTTTGGCATATATGAACAACTCTAGAGTGCGTACACACCTAATGATAATGTGCATTCACTGCCTGATGCAGATGTGTTTTGGGGGCACTGTACACACAGCACCATCCCCATGTCATCCCTGTCCCATCTAAAGCATGTGCTGCTTTAGATGTACTTCTCAAGTGCTTGCAGCTGCCATGCATACACAGCGAATATTTTCTTAAGTCACCTCCTATTGGGGTGGACCTAGAAAAGCTGTGCTACTGATTCTGCCTTTCTTCTTTTGCTGTCCAACTTGAATTCAAACCAAAATGGCATATCTAAGCCAATCCTTGTGAGCCGCAGTTAAACTAGGACACTTAGGTGTTGGGAGCTGTGTGTTATAGACTACAGACTGCTTTGGTTTTGGGAAATTGTGAATTTCTGCATTCTTTGGCATTCCTGCGTATCTTTGGGCAGCAGACAAACTTGGTTGCCGAACTGAATTTGCGTGGTAAAAGTTTTATCACAGGAGGTGCCTGCCAGCCAGCCAGCCATGCATTGCTTCCAAAGCTGTTCTTTCCGAGTCCAATTTGGTTATGATGATCATGCTGGGAAATTGGTGCCTGTGGCATCTCAGAGTGAAACAAAGAAGTGGACATGTTTTTAAAATACCTATGAGAAGTCCCTTTTTTGTGGGGAAGGATACTAGAACTATTTTCAGTAAATTAAACATGCCCCCAAAACTTCCTGTTCCCGTGGGACAGCTGTCAGTCTATTCTCATTAACAAGAACATACCTGGGGGAAGGGGAGACATAAGTTATGTCACCCAAGGCATAACAGTTACCCGATTCAGAATACAAATTCTACCACACATATTGCCTAGATATATTTCCGTAAAAACTTCTCTGGCTGTCAGAGACTAGACCTAGGACTTAGTGTCCTTGGAAAGCATTCCTAATCCTCCCTCTCCCAGGACCCGGCATGCGTTGAGAGTACAGTCATACCTTGGAAGTTGAACAGAATCCGTTCCAGAAGTCCATTTGACTTCCAAAACATTTGGAAACCAAAGCGCGGCTTCTGATTGGCTGCAGGAAGCTCCTGCAACCAATCGGAAGCCACGGAAGCCCCATCAGACATTCGGCTTCCAAAAATAGTTCGCAAACCGGAATAATCACTGGTGGCGTTCGGGAGCCAAAACGTTCGAGAACTAAGCTTTTCAAAAACCAAGGTACGACTCTAGTAGAACAGAAAGCTCAGAGGCAGAAAGCACAGATCAGCCAGCGCAGGGATGAAGTAGAATAGGAGACACGGAGGGGGTGGGACTTTACTCGGAGCAATGCCATTGTTTGAGAGTCAGCATCATCCGTCTCTCTCTGTGAATAGTGAATAAAATACCACGGTAAGAACTTCTTGTTTTCCCATTTCTGGCTGCCAGCCGTGAGGGAAGGGGACCGGATTCCCTGAAGCCTGACACTGGCTCACAGTGTAAAATGAAGTTCTGCACATTAGCTTCTAGGTGGGTATCTGTGCTAAGTGTTCTTCAGTAAGCTTACTCTCAGTGAAACTCTCATCACTTTCTGTGAACTAGCTGACCAGACCATTCAGTCAAGCAAGTTTCTGTTTGGTGTGCCCTCTCTCTTCAGGTCAATTATCTTGATTTTGTAAACATTTTAAGCAGTGATGTTCCCATCTAGCTCTAAAACATTTCCTAGTTTTTAGGTTGTGTTTGTTTTCACAGGGTTATGTGCATTTAAGTTCCACACTTCTTCTTTTTTTACCTTTTCCAGAGTCAATACAATAGGCACATGCACAGAAGAGCATCAGCAATCATTACAAGCCAGGAGAGAACTTGCCAACATAGATGAGCTGTTTTTGGAATGCTTTCAGAGATAGCTCATAAATATTGAGCTGATTTTGAATGTAGCCAAGTATGTTTACTGAACATTGTGTGCAAGAGGAAGTTAATTTAATGGGCAGAACCATTCGGTGGCCTGCCTTTCTATTAACAGGTTCTCTTGCCTAAAGGACTTGCCAGTTTTATAGTTTAGCGTTTCAATATTTGTTATTAAATTAGATTGTAATGTTTTGTTTATAGTCCTACAGCTATCACTGACTGGGGGCAGCCAGCCTTTCGAAATTTGGGCTCCCATACCTTTCACAGTTAATTAGAAGGGACCACGAGGGTCATCTAGTCCAACCCCCTGCAATTCAGGAATCTTTTGCCCAATGTGGGGCTCAAACACACAGCCCTGAGATTAAGAGTCTCGTGCTCTAATGACTGAGCTATCAGACGCAGTAGACTTGTCAGTGCATATTACATAGCAGGGATGGGGAACATGCGGTCCTACAGGTTTCATGGCACTTCAGCCCCCAACAGTTCCAGCCAGCATGGCCAATGGTCAATGATGACAGGAGGGTAGTCCAGCAACATCTGGGCTACAGGTTCCCCAACCCTTTTATATATAAAGAGAATTGTTTTGCTGGATGCTTAACTGTTTCATAAGGGACGCGGGTGGCGCTGTGGGTTAAACCACAGAGCCTAGGACTTGCCGATCAGAAGGTCGGCAGTTTGAATCCCCGCGACGGGGTGAGCTCCCGTTGCTCGGTCCCTGCTCCTGCCAACCTAGCAGTTCGAAAGCACCTCAGAATGCAAGTAGATAAATAGGTACCGCTCCAGTGGGAAGGTAAATGGCATTTCCGTGCGCTGCTCTGGTTCGCCAGAAGCGGCTTAGTCATGCTGGCCACATGACCTGGAAGCTGTACGCCAGCTCCCTCGGCCAATAAAGCGAGATGAGCGCCACAACCCCAGAGTCCGTCACAACTGGACCTAATGGTCAGGGGTCCCTTTACTTTTACCTTTACCTTTAACTTTAACTGTTTCATAATTTACATCTTCCTGTGAAGAAGCTAGGCTTCCAAAAATGTTCCACTTTACTCTGCTTCATCCAGATGATATTCCTGGAATAAAAGAGGCTCCCTGGAGAAAATTCTGTCTTTTGCTAAAGTTGTTCAAGTCTGTGTTCATCTAATTTAGAGCCCCTGCTCTCTTCCTCGCTGCCCTCTTACTTTACCTCTTACAAGTCTATGGCTTGCTTAGAGCCACTCAGCATCTGTATGCTAAAGAAGCTTTCCCAGACAATCATTAAGTGATCCTTGATGTTGACTCAGATGTGTCCCAGGTCACTTCAGGCAAGTCAAATATCCATTACACCTGTAATTCAGATTCATTTGGAAATTAATAAAGCTTTGTTTAATGTAGGGCTCATTTTTAAAAATTGGAACTAATAATATATTCTTAGTTTTGTGTAGTTTAACAGAAACGCTAAGGGCTAATTTTGGTTGTGCTGTCCGGATGATTTGCCCAGTTGATTAGTTGCATCATCGAAAAATCTCAGGTGTGAGATCTTTTGTTCTCTGTGACATACTATAATTTAGGTGATATGGTTAGGGGGTGAATGGTGGCTGAATTTCATGCACGCAGAGAGTGGGGCGATATTATACATGAGTTCCTTTCAGTCCTGTGATTCTACAGTTATCCTTATTGTCAGTATTTTATTGGATTAATAAATTAGCTGCCATGTCCATAAATATGTATTATGTATCAGGAGGAAATAGCAAAAAATTATAATAATGTACCCAGTATCTAGCTGGGGTGTGTGGGAGTTTCTTTCTCATGCATCTTTTTCGGACTTCCTCTTATCTGACAGACTGCTTGAGCATAAAATATACATGCCATTTCTGGACAACAGTTATGTGTCAATACAAAGCATGTTAATATCGTCCTTTTATGCTGTGGGCTAACAGACTCTGCAATTTCTAGAGCATGAAAATGGGCCAAAACTCCATTTCACTTCTAGGAGCAAAAGTAATTGAATTTTGAAAGTGATAAATTGCATCCAGAATTCTGCTGCTGTTGCATGTGTGTGAGTGCATAGATTGTATCCAACATTGTTCATCATTCACTTCCACTATGCATCCTCAAAAAACTTCTCAAGGAAGTCAGGGGGCTACTGAACACCAAGGACTCTGTCTTATGATGCTGCACTCTGGGGGACATCACGTAAAAGTGGGAACCTTGCATGAGCGATGCACAATTCATATGTTATGACCATCATAACAAAAAAGCACGGTGAATAGCCATAGAACCTGCAGACAGCTAATACAGCCCCCGGTAAGCTGCCTGTCACCACATGCATTGAGGAGATATCAGAAAACAAAAGAAATCCTGGGATAGGGCTCCAAGCTCTTTGTCCATAGGTAGAGAGATCTCTATAGCTCTCCAAATATGTCCTCTGCCCATGAACAGAAACAGCTCAGCTGAAGTAAGCAGGAACTGAAGACTAAAGGTCACAACAAAATGTGGATTTAAGTCCACTAGCATCCTCTTCATTGAAACAGCTGCACCTATAAGTCAACAGCCATTTGAGGAGTGGATCAAATGAGCACATCGTGGGGAAGGGATGAGAAGAGTATATGGGCTGGAGGACAAGAAAAGGAAACAAGCACACCAGATAGATGGTCCTACTGAGAGGCCGCATGCACAGGGACTATCCATTCCAACTGAAACCAGCAGAAGTCACCATTAACATGCTCTGTTTCTATCTTTCCAAGCAGGCATCCATGCAAAGTTCCAGGATGCACTTTAGCCCATCTTCCTGGAGCCAAGTAGGCAGCTTAGGTTTGCTGTAGAAACACTGGACTGAGAATCAAAGAGCGTCAGAAGATCCCGTGTGATGCTGAACAACAACTTAGTCTTTTTTATAACTTTTGATAAAAGCTTTCGCTGATGCTGTTGGTGCTATCCACAGTGCTTGGAAATTCAAGAACCACGCATTCATCCACGCTGCTGTATTTACAGAGTTCTCTCACAACTCATTGGTATAAGCTGATCACAATGCTCTGTAGCTTAAGCTCCTAGTACTGTAGCATTGACATAGGCAAACCCACTGAGGCGGGCCAAGTAGGCCTCAATAGCCATGTTGGTGGAAAGCTATACAGTATGCGAGAAAATGGGGTATATGAAAAGGGAATGGGTACACAGAAGATATTGGAAATACAAAGCGCGACCACAACTTTCTACGAGTCCTCTTATATGAGTACTAATTATACCATCAGTACTGTCACATGGGTAAAGTGGTTAATTTTAAATGTCAGTCAGGGCAATGAAATAAAGCTTTCTACTTCTTCCTAGGGTGGGAAATCCAATCCACTGTAAAGGGCACGTGATGTTTCTGGCCAGCATTTTATTTTCTTTAATCCATTGAAACTTGTTTTAGTGTTTCATATGCAGCAGTGTTTCCTTTTTAAAGCAAGGTTTAAACTTTCTCGCTGAAAACCACAATTAATAAAATGGCGTAAGTGCTTATTTTTCTTTTCTTATGCCCATCATTTGAATGCACAGGCATTATTGTCCAACACTGGTTTCAAAAGTCAGGCCAATAATGATATTCTTCCAGCAGTAATGTGTGACTCATTGTTAAATGCTGCTGGCAGCTAGCGGCTAGCTGTTCAGCTGATAGCTGAGGTTGTTTCAGTGGCATTCATGCTGTTAGCCTGCTGCTAGGCTGCCTACGTTTCTTTTGTACGGTGTGATAACACATCTTTTAGAATTACCTTTGAATCTGATGAAAGCCTCCTTGTAATCAGGGGCTCCCTGCAAAAATTGTGCTTCTGTGTAATGCCTCCCCCCCCCCTACTATTTTTAAAAACAATTAAGAACATGGAAATCCTGTACCCATTTGTATGGGGCTTCCCCTGAAAACACCCTTTAAAAAAAATACTATATATATATATATATATATATATTCAGTAATTAGCAAAGTTGTTGGTGGTGTATGACTCCTTTCACACCTTTTATGTGTGCTTTTTCCCACCTAGTTTGTTAACGTGCACTGACACACTCCACTTATCCACATGTACCTCTAGCCTGGCGCTTACTGTTTAGCACTTTAAAAGGACCTGGATATTCCCTGCATGAACCTGGCAACTAGCTGCGGACATCAGGACATGCCCTGTTATATGCCACTTCACTCACATGAGGTTTGGAGTACAAGGACAGAAGATTCAGCCACCTTTTCAATGTGGGTGGCACTGTGGTCTAAACCACCGAGCCTCTTGGCCTTGCCAGTCAGAAGGTCAGCGATTTGAATCCCCGCAACGGAGTGAGCTCCTGTTGCTCTGTGCCATCTCCTGCCAACCTAGCAGTTTGAAAGCACACCAGTGCAAGTAGATAAATAGGTACCACTGTGGTGGGAAGGTAAACAGCATCTCCAAGCACTCTGGCTTACATCACGGTGTTCTATTGTGCCAGAAGCGGTTTAGTCAGTCTGGCCACATAACCTGGAAAGCTGTCTGGACGAACGCCGGCTCCCTCGGCCTGAATGGGTGTATTGAGACATCAAGTCAAAACATGCACTTTATGGCACTATCTGCTGTTTTTGATGTATTTTCCTGCTGGTTTTGTGCTGATGTGGGATTGTTTGTTAATTTACCTTTTGATACTGTATTTTTATTTTATTTTTACTGTTTTATGCCGTTAGGCATCCTATTTGGATGGAAGATACAGGATACAAATGTTATCTATAAATAATTAAAAATAACACCCTAAAGTATTGACTAACCTGGCCCCAGCACTCAGTTTAATTATTCTCTTCTAGTAATTCCAGATCATAACTTACATTTTCAGAAGCCCTGGGAACCAGCACATCCCCATCCCCACCCCACCTTAAATTGCAACAGCTTCCCAATGTGAGACATGGGATTGTGGTCCACATAACTGCATTTTTTAAAGGCTTGCAGCAATAACAAAAGTGAACCATGGCAGGAAAACTGCTTGCTACATTGAGGCAGCTACCATGGAAAGCTGTTAAAAGTAGACCCATCATGCTTGGCTATCACTGACTGGGCTGTTGATTTGAAAGTTAACAAGTTGAGAGACAAAATTCCTTGTGCCTCTGTTTGCGCATGTGTGCACACACACATGCTCAGAGGCTACAGACTTTAAAATCTTGTAAAATGTTCACTTGGTATCTTTAGCTGTAAGTGCTGATGCTATAATTAGCACTTTCTTTCTTTTTTACTTTCAATGGCTAAGGATGAGAAATATATTTTCTAAACACTTTTCGTCCTTTGCTGCTTTACCAGTGTATCATGCCACTGACGAAATTCAATTTTCTGTGTTAGGACTGCTTCCAGCTTGCTCAGAAATGCTAAGCAGGGAAGAGCTAGTCAAATGAGAGGTACTGCAGCTGCAGGAGTAATGTGAAGTTCAAGAACTTGATGACGAGTAAGTGAAG